GGGTCTAGGAGCTGTGTGTCGTGGCAACGCTATCGCTTTTGTGGTTTCGCCGGACTATCCCGGGCCCCTGCAGTGGTGATCAGGCTTGTGCGGGATCCCTTTTCTTTATAAGGCTACTTCTCCCCTGGACCAGCCCAGGAAGGGACAGGTGGTGGAGGTCAGTTGTTTTAAGGTGGTTGCAAGACGTCTTGTGGTGTCGAGCTCTCTTAGCCTTTCTCTCTTGGAGGTTTTTTGTTGGCCTGTTAGGTATATCAGGAGCCCTCCCCTGCCGGGACTGCCCTAACCGAATTTTTGTTTGTTTGTTTGTTTTCCCTTCGAATCCCGTTTTCGTTGGTGGTGTTTGGGGGGTTGTTTCAGAGAGCCTTTGACTTTGCCCTAGCTGAGACTTGTGGACTCGCTCTAGCGGGACCTGAGAGCCCTTCGTGGTGTATTCAATGCAGCGCCATCCCCGGATGGAGGGGCTGCGGAGTGGCTGCGTAGAGTGTTGGCAGTCTGAGTCGGGGTCGGGAGCACACAAGACTAACCGACTTGTGCTGTGTGCTCCCGACCCTTGCGCTGTGCCTCGGCTTCGGCCCCCGGCTCTCGCGGCCCACAGTGTAATCTAAGTCATACATAACATACATACACACCGTTCGCACCTCCGCCCCCGCCCACCCCCCCTCCCCAAAGCGCACACTGCCCAACCCCTCGGCTGCCTTTCGCCATACATCAAATAAATACACGTCACCGACGCACAGATATACCGACAGATATAACCGGGTACAGACAGAAACATACAATACAGACAGATAGACAGACAGATAGACAGACAGACAGACAGACGACAAACAAACCCCTCCTCCCTCCACTACTCCCCCATCCCCCACCCCACCTGCGCCGCCAGCGCCTCCGCCCTCGCCCTCTCCTGCGCCGCCAGCGCCTCCTGGCCTTCACGTCGGGTCGCCGCCGCCCCCTCCTCAACCAACTTGGCCTCGCGCTCGGCTGCCTGCTCAGGAGGGGCCGAGGGAGGGAGGGGGGGGGAGGCAGAGGGGGGCGGAGAGATGGGAGCTGCATCGTCAAATTGTTACTAGCAGCAAAAGTTAAACAGAAACACCTCGACTCGACATACAGAGTGACACAACACAGGAGCCCACACACACCACCAGTCCTGCACACCCGCCCGTCCTTTTACAGCTATTGCGTGTACACCGCCTGGGCCGTACAGATCCATCCCCATTTCCCCAATTGCCGTATTGGCGTCACCTTGTGGCCGTACACACGTACGTACATACAAACGCACGCTCTTTCCCCTCACCTCTTTCTCCCGCTCCTCATCCTCCAGCTGCTTTAAAGCCGTCTCCCAACTACCCGCCTGAGGTGGGTGTGTGTGTGTGAGGGGGGTGAGGCAGCGTTTTTTCTAAGTAATATATTCCTTAAAAGGAATAAACAGGCATTTTGGCCTTTGGAAAAAAGGAATGAATTGAGGCCGATCCGTACATTTTCATTCCTCCAGCCAAAAACGTCCATTGCTGCAAGATTGCTCCGTAGTGTGCAGAACTTAGTATTTTCAATCATGGAATAGATACGAGGGGCCTTAAGAAGGTCAAGCCCGTGAGTCAACGCGGCATAGCAGAATGTATGACGGGTCCTCACATAGCCAAACACGCAAAAGGCACAATGACTTGAACGTCGAACAGACACATAAACAGCAAGATAAGCCTGAAACTTTTCCTGACGAAGGCGTTTGGGATGGCGGTGCTGTTGTCGGTAATGCATCGGCAATGGTGTTGCTGCCAGCGGCGAAGAGTGCGCACATGAACGAAAACGCGCCAACTCAGTGCGTGACTCTCTTGGTCTATGAGGGGAGTTGTAACTTATCGGGGGGGGGGGTGTCTGGTGGGGCGGAGCCCCCCCAGCGCCCCACACATAAGGAATAAATTACGACGACCCTAGCAACTTTGTTACTTAGGTCGGAATAGATTGAGACCCGCCCTACATGAAAAAAATCATTGTCGTGAGGTGTGTGTGTGTGTGGGGGGGAGATGGATGTGTGTGGGGGGGGAAGATGGGGGATGGCACACCTGTGTGTGTGTATGCGTGTGTTGGGGGGTAATGGGTGTATGTCTGTATGTTAGGGGGCCTTAGGCGCGCGTAAACTGAGGAGGCGGCCACCAGCGAGCAAACCCGTCATTTAGGGCGGGGGCCGGAGGGGGTTGGGGTACCGGGCGCCATGATACGGGGCGAGGATTGGGGGGGGAGAGGGGGGAAGATGGGGGAGGGGGATGAGGGAAGACCACGTGGGGCGCATAAGCGTGTGTATGTGTGTGTGTGTGTTAGCAGCACATTTTGAACACGGGGGATGGGGGATTAGCTTTGTTTGAGCTTTTTTATCCCTCACTGACATTCGGGTTTATAAAACAGAGAATGGGGATGGATGGCGGCCCGTGTGTACACCTGAGCACCGTGCTGTACGACTACGGCCGTACCCCGCCGTACCTTGTAAATAAAAGTGTCCATGACAGTGGGCCCCGTTGTCATGGACTTGCGGCCCGGTACGAACATAACGTTGCCACGGTCGCGCTCCCTGGGCACGACAGGTACGACACGGTACGAGGACGGCAACGATAACGAGTATCATTATGATGCGGAGTACGACGGCGTACATGAGTGATTTGTGCCTTCTTACTCTTTTTGGTGCACATGCCCTATGCTGGCGACGCTGGTTGCATGGCCTGTCGGGTCCGTCACGGATAAGGCCCCCCCCGGTGTGTGCTGTCCTGGCTCCGCTGTGAGAGTGGGTGGCTTAATGGGTGGGATTCGCGAACAACAAACAGCAACAGACAGCTGAACCACTATCAGCCAACGTAAGGGACTGGTGAATTAAAAATCCATCCCACCAACCAACATCGGACACAACCACACCCCGCGCCCCGGACACAACCAACATCGGACACAAATTGCTCAACAAATATATTTCATCATTAGGACATAAAGAAACATGTCAGGTACCCCCTCCCACTCTCCTTAGTCTCCCCCCGGCATCCCTCCCCCCCCCCCGGCAACCCCATTATGCACGCTCACTTTGACCGTACGGCACCATACACCGCATTTGAGCAGTGGATGGTGTTATCAAAGCCCTTGGCCTCCAGCGCGTTAGCAACGGATACCGTGTCGCCTGTTTAGAAGTTGGCGGTTAGGGTGGTTATGGGTACGGTTAGGGTTTGAGGTACGAAACATTTAGGCGGTAACAAAATAGGCTGAAGACTTGCAGCGCAGCTGAGCGGTACGGGAAATCGGTATATACATATAAGGGATGTGGGTGAGATAGTATACAGCGAATAAATACACAATGGCTAATAAGGTAATGGGATACACCAGAACATAAACCCTGCAATAATGGCCAACAGCGCAGCGCAGCGTTAAGGAATGGCGTGGGAGTGGGAGAGTTAACTGTAGTACATGTCGTACACAACAGACGTCACATGCCAGGTGTATTTTTCTATAACGCATGGGGGGGTGTTGGATGTGGGGTTGGGGGGCGGGCGGGAGGGGGAAGGGGAACAACAGGGGCAGGGAAGGAAAAAACCCGCCACGGCCCACGTAAGGCCCCATACGGAGCTAAACCTAAAACCCTAAAATCATATCACCCTTTACAGCCAGAAAGACGGGACATGGGCGGATAACGGTCGGGAAGGCCGTCGCCGCGAAAAGAGACACAAAACCCAACAAACACCAAAATTTCCCCCAAGAACCCCCCTCCCCCAGCATTCAACCCCCCCTCCCCCAGCATTCAACCCCCCCTCCCCCAGCATTCAACCCCCCCGCCCCCAGCATTCAACCCCCCCCGCCCCCAGCATTCAACCCCCCCTCCCCCAGCATTCAACCCCCCCGCCCCCAGCATTCAACCCCCCCGCCCCCAGCATTCAACCCCCCCGCCCCCTTCCATCTCCCCCCAGACTCCACTCACCAAAAACACAGTACCTGGGGTTGTCAATCCCGACCACCCCCGCGTACGCCGGCCCCGTGTGTACACCGATACGGATGTTGATCTGTTGGCCACCTGGGAAAGTTAGTTGCTGTACGGCAGACAGCATGTCAACCGCCATGGATAGTATCCGTTTGATGTGGTCCGAGGTGCCGTCATGCCCCGAAACCACCAAGTACGACTCGCTTGTGTGCTCAACCCTGGTTTGATGGGGTGGGGTAGAGTGGGACGGGGAGGAAATAAAGAGGGGGGTGAAAGCGGGGGTTGGGGGTTGGGGGGGTGTATGCAAACCCAAGCAAAGATTACGGATTGCAGCTGCAGTAGCGGGGAACAACATCTTCAACTAGACCCCCTACGTTACAAACACCTTGGATTTGTACCCCGGGAGCGACACGGCCTCTCCCCCCATATCCCCCCCACCCCCCGGGGCACCCGTCAGGAACATGTCACACAGAAACCCAATAACTGCCGTCGTACCTGAAGACCTGGTATTTGAGCAGCAGCTTTTCGAAAGTGCCGTACATTTCATTGAGTACGAGCACCACGTCACTGGTGCTGCGTGATGAGAGGGACTGGGAGGACAGCCAGCCGGCCACATCCTGTGGGGGTGGGGGGGGTGGAA